TCTTATTCAAGTGATACATACGATTTTAGGCCTATGCCGTTATCAAGAGGAATCTCAAGGAAAAGGCATCGAGTATACACAAAATACGATAATGAAGATGGCCACAAAATGAGAATAAAGTTGAGAATTAACTATATTTACTGATATGCCTAGCGTCAGCTGCAAACACAGCCAAATAAACCGTTCGAATTGGTACAAATACACAGTCTGTCAGGCCCTACCTGATTCCAATTTGGCCTCATCTCGTTCTTGCGTGACACGCTGCAATTCCTGCTTCAGACTGCCTCTCGGCGGTCCAAAGGGCTTTCCTAAAGCCTCGTTGCCTTCGGGACCATCGCTTCTAGGGCGTGGATCAGGCACAGCCGAAAGCAATGGTGCAGCCATCGCAACGGGAATCACCTGCTCAGCTTGCCCGATGAGATCTCCGCGTAGTTTGTTCAGAGCGTCTGTCAGGCTCTGAACACAAGAAGAACACGACAAGGCGAAAAGAGCTGGTTACATTCAGACCAGTCAAGCCAGACTTACTCCAATTCACACTTATTAGTGGAGTTGTAAATTAGGTCAACTTGTAATTACCATTAAAATCGAGTACTTTACTTATGCTAGATGTGAGTAGTAGTTGAGATTATCAGAAAATATTGAATGCGGTCTTGAATTATTGTAATAAACTCAACTATCACTTCTTAACTCACCTTAAGCGACATGAGCTGATTTCAGAGATTATTCAAGGTTTCTGATAGCCTCCAAAAATGCATGCGTGTCGCAATTAATACTAGTTCAAATATTGCGAAATTTAATTTAGTGTGAGTTATACATTGAAACAAAGCCGTATGTAGTATGAGCTAAATGACAATTCGTTATAAACAAGTTTACAAAAGGCAGCGGAGTAGAAGCATCTGTTTGCATCGGACCGTTTCTCTTTCTATGCATGCATTAATGCTTGTCACGCCATCAAGAGAAGACTGCTAAGTAGTGAATATTTGAGGTAAAAAGAGACGATTGTTGATTACGTTAGAACAAAAATTTGATTTAACCAAAGGGAAGAAATGTGGTTATAGCAATTATAAAATTGGCAGAGATGTTGAAGTGCATAAATCAACGGTAGGGAATATTTAAAAACACGTAGCTGAAATAAAGCAGAAAGGTAAAGCGACAACAACAACTTAATGAGGTGCTGAAACCACTCATAGGTCATAGATTTGTGTAGAAATGTAAGAGTAGTATCTTTTACAGTAAACCTGACAGCTTCATGGCAGCTCATATTTAGAAAAACAACGGCGACATTTAAAACACATTACTTTAGAATAAACTTTAAACAGGTGACTGCTCGAATAAGAGATAATGATGTTATACTGAACCTCTAGCTTTTAATACTTTTGATTAGCATTAGCCCTCATATAACATTAAGAAACGGAGAAAGTGTTGCTGTATTTTTTTAATTTTTATTAAGCCTTTTAAATGTGATGTCTTTATGTGTCATAATCGCTTGGAATAGTATAACAGTTGCACATGACGAATTAATAATCTCAACTTGTCTGTATCTACATCAAATACAAACTTCATTTAGTTGGCTCCCCCATACACGATCTCATTGGACTATTCTCTATGCTTACTTGGTCTTTCAAGCAACTAGTATCGTCAGAGCCCAAACCTCAAATTGTTCCTTCATAACCATTTATTCGATTTTTCAGGAGACTATTTTAACATGCTAGTCTCACTCGTCGTCTCTTTAATCAAAGAGATAGTGGGAAATCATTCGAATAAATATCTTAACCACAGCTCGTCTGTCGACAACTATTGCAACCTCCTTAAGACAGCTAATCCCACGTATCCTTTTTACCACCTAGATTTTTCAGCACCACCTTTTTCTCTACCCATCGCCTAGGGACATTGACGACTTTTTAGATCCTTATAACGTACTTACCTACGCTTGATTTACGGGTAATTCACGAGTTTCATCAAACCCCAATTGTTACTTGTCACGCCTCTCTTGTACTCGGTTTAATTCTTATTCCCATGGTCTCATTTTTCTGATCAGTCCAGATATGAGGACAGCGCAACTC